CTCAGTTGGTAAAGTGTCTGCTTGGTTCGGGTCATGGTCTCAGGGTCCTGGGATCAAGTCCCTCATTGGGCTCCCTGCTCAGCAGGGAGTCTGTTTCTCCCTCTCCCTCTGCCTTTCTGCCCCAGTCATGCTCTCTCTCTCAAACAAATAAATAAAATCTTTTTTTAAAAGATTTTATTTATTTATTTGACAGAGATCACAAGTAGGCAGAGAGGCAGGCTCCCTGCCGAGCAGAGAGCCCAATGTGGGGCTCAATCCTAGGACCCTGGGATCATGACCTGAGCCAAAGGCAGAGGCTTTAACCCACTGAGCCACCGAGGTGCCCCAATAAATAAAATCTTTTTTAAAAATCTTGTAGTTTCAGTAACTGTTCCCCTAATCATGTTCATTATAAATGAAAGTAGACAAGAAGGGAAATGAATGTAAAAGAATCTAGGTTGCTTCATTGCATTTCTGTACTTGATCTTAGCCAGAAGGCCTGACTGAGTTAAAATAAGCATGTTGTTTTCTTTTGAAACAGGATGTCTCGGGCTGTTCATCTTCCAGTTCCCTGTCCCGTTCAGCTTGGTTCCTTAAGAAATGACTCCTTGGAAGCTCAACTTCATGAATATGTCAAACAAGGGAACTATATGAAAGTGAAGAAGATTCTTAAGAAAGGTAAGCACTGTGTTAAAATTGCAGATGCAACTTGATTCACATTTCTGAATAGTTTCGGAAGGAAAATCAGGTACTTGATAAAGCTATGAGTTCTTGGGGAAATTGAAAGTTAAATTTGAGATGAAATTTTCCCTATAAGGGCAGTTACATTGCTCAGTAGAGGTCTTAAATTGTTGTTTGGAGACTGTTTTGTTTTGTGCTAGGGAACCATAAGGTCTTCCAACTGTTAGACTCCAGATTTCTCCTCAGGCCCCAGACATCCACTTTTAATTCTGCCTAATTCCCTTTTCTCCTTTAATCAGTTTTCTGAAGCCTGTGGTAGAGTGACTAGAGCAGCTTTCATAGCTCTCCCCTTCTTTGCTCCTCCCAGGAACTTGGTGCTTTAGTTTCCAGGGTTTTTTTTATAGCAAATGTAGCTCAGGCAATCTCCAAAAGAACAAACACTAAACCATACATGGACAAAACCTCTGCTGGTGTTTGGCCCTTGATCTACAGATTCAGACCTGTTTTCGTTTTGTTGTTGTTGTTTGAGTGACCAGAAGTCCTGCTGAATTCCCTGTCTCCCTTCTTAGTATAAAGAGAGGTTTATGAAACTTCTCTCCGCTGTTTGTGAAACAGGGTGACCTAATTTCACTGAAGTGTTTCTCCATTTACTTCATAAGCACTCCTGAGGACTTCCAGAAAGGTAACTCCAATTTTTGCAGGATCCAACTATCCCACAAAATAATTCATTCAGAAAGTTCTCAAATGTTTCCATGTATCCCCCCTAGAGTCTATGAATGAAGTAGCTGATAGTGAGGTCAGTAATTTATTTGAAAGGTCCTGTTGGTTTTTTTCCCCTCAAAATTTTGCATTTTATTCCTTAACACATTCATGTGCATGTTAATATGAAAATAGATGTTCAGAGGGTGCCTGGGTGGCTCAATCAGTTAAGCATCTGCCTTTGGGCCCAGTCGTGATCCCAGGGTCCTGGGATTGAGCCCTACATTGGGTTCCCTGCTCAGCGGGGAGTCTGCTTCTCCCTCTTCCTCTCCCTCTGTGTATGTGTAAGCTTTCTCTCTTTCAGACAACAAATAAACAAACAAAAATAGATGTTCAGCTTAGGTATGCTGTGACTTCTATTGTCTTGTATCCACACTCTCCATTGTGAAAAGCAGAGTATTAGAATATTTATATCTTAGACATCTGAACATTCTGCATCTTCAAATTCTTGCCATTAAGCTACAGCAGGTGATGGGGTTGACATGTGTAACTGGATATGAAGCAGGATTTCAACTGTGTCTGGGAATTTCATCTAAAGCTTCCGAGTGGAGAGCAAGGGGTGACAAGGTGAAAAGTTCCCCGACAGTCTAAACCAGAGCTTCTTAGGAGATGGCCAAAATGGTCCTGGGACCTTTAACTCCATCATCCACCTCAGGCCTATCTAGGAGAAGGCAATGGGGTAGTGGTGGGAGTGTCAGTGGAAACGATTCTCTAAAAGACATTTCACAGGAATAGAAAGCTGTGGCTTTTCCCCTCCTTCCCAGCTTCAAACCAAATAAGAGGTCCTTCAGGTGAACGTCATGGAGAGAATTGTAGAACTTGCAAGCAGGATAGTTGGGAGTCTGTGTCTCAGCCTGCTGAACAGTAGGAATGTCAGCCCTTGCCAGCTGCCACCAAGGTGGTGTGAAGAGAACCTGGCATGTTACCTGGAATTTAAAGGTCAGGAGGACCGCCATCTGCCTCCTTCCTAATAGCAACTCTTGATGACTGGGTAAACATGAGAGACCAGCAGTTGGATTAGCTACACACTTCCACCACTTAGTGGGGTAAGTAGACTCTATAGAGGGTAGCTGAATCATCTAAAGGACTTCACACTATGAAGGCAGGAAGAATCCCAACAGAGGCTGGAGAAACAGCAAGAAGTCAGCAGGAAAGGGCACTGGCCACATTAGGGTACTGTGAAGTGGAGTGGAGTTACCTGAAGGGTCCACTAACCCCTCCCACGGAAGAGCAGGCACTAGGAAGAGGCCGAAAGCTACAAAGAGGATCAGCTATGTTTGAAGGCCTTGACCCTTGTCATCTTATTGGTCTTCCCCCTCCAGCTCTAGAGTTGCCAGAAACAGCCTCGAAATCAGAGGAGTGGAAGAGCAAGGAAGAGGTTTTGATTTCAACAGGACTGGACAATTTATTACCTGAAATGAGACTGTGCTTGAAGGCCTCAGAGTGACTTAAAGACTATGGAATCTGCCTGAGATACCTCTCCGGAGAGGGAAAAGGAGATCCAACCAAAAGAGCATACTTGACTTGAGGGCAGTAAAGGGGGGAAAAAATGTTTCCTGATTGTATCCTACTTAGTTCAGTTATATAGATTATATGAGTTCTAAAACCCAAAATATGAGTTCCTGAGTTCTAGAAACCTCAACCCAGATTTTATTCATTTTTAATTACATGTATATTAATTGACCCGTGAGGTTAGAACACCAAGCTCAGGGGCACATGGGTGGCTCAGTTGGTTAGGCATCTGCCTTTGGCTCAGATCATGATCCAGGGTCCTAGGATTGAGCCCTGTGTCATGCTCCCTGCCTAGCAGGAGGCCTGCTTCTCCCTCTAACTGCTCCTCCGCCTGCTTGTGCACGCGCTCTCTCTCAAATAAATAAATAAAATCTTAAAGAAAAAAAGAAAAAGAACAACACCAAGGACAGATGTGTGGCCTATGCCTTCCAGGAGTATAACCCAGTACAAGCAGCAGACAAAAGTAATTAAAGTACTGAGAAGTACAGGAGGCAAAGAAGTACCTACATCTCAGCCTCCTTGTCTGGGGAGTACTCAAGGGAAAAGTCTTACAGGAAGCTATATTTAGGCCAGGACCTTAACAAAGAAAAAGAGTTGAGTTGGGGGTGCCTGGCTGGCTCAGTCAGTGAAGCATGTGATTCTTGATTTCAGGTTGTGAGTTCAAACCTCACATTGGGTGTAGAGAGTACTTAAAAAATAAAATCTTTAAAAAAACTGAATGTGCTGGAGTGATCCACATGCAGTTGGAGAGTGTGCTCTTAAGAGGTCATCATATGGCATGGATGGTGAGGGGTTCCTAGAAACGCTGGAGGAATGGACAATGGAAAAGTGTTAGATATGGAAGGGTCCAGACCAGAGACAAGCTCTTGGATGAAAGTGATTGGAAGGCACTTTATAACTTCAATATATAAGAAAATGGGGATACGTCTCAGACCTGGGCAGATTGCCCAAACACTGTCCCTTTCTGACAGAATTTAAGTACAGAGCATCTGACTGTCTCTGAGGAGATTGTGTTAGAAGTGGTTAGATGAGATGAATCTCATGCTTTTTAGTCATGTACTATGAAGCCCTGAAAAATGTGGTTGGTTCAGAAAACCACATGTCTAGATGGCACTGTGCTTCCTGGCATCCTAGAAGATGTGGGGGAGAAGTATTTTTACAAGTTTAATGATAAAAATTACACACTTCATATATAAGGTACATGTGTTCTTTGAGGAGAAACTGGGATTAACTTTTGCCACAGATAAACAGGTAGACTGCTTCTGAGGTTTACAAGCCAGAAAGGTGAAACATTCAGGACTGAACTTTAAGTGATAATGTATTTAGTGCTTTATTAGAGAAATTAATTTGATTGGAGACTAGACCTCCTGAGGAAGACCACTTTGTCTTACGAGAAAGAATCCGGATTTGATTTGGTACCAGACATACCTAGGTTTGTCCAGCTGTATGACCTTATAGCCTGCATCTGTAAGAACGAGGAAGTAATGACACCCTTCTTCAGTTGTTTAGAGGATGAAATGAAACAACGGATCAAAATGTTATCAAGTAGGTATTCAATAAATCGTCGTGGTTATGATTATTATGTGGTATTAGAAGTGTACACCAGTTCTTACCTCTCTCTTTGCCTCCTCCTTCCGCCTCTCTCTCAAGGCAAAGGGAACTGGTCTTTTCAAGTCAGCGGACTTTTGTAGCAAGCGAGAGACAGTCCGATGCTGACCTGTGGCGTCAACATTTTTTTAGCCTACAGTGGGGCAGTGCCACCCGACCGAGACCCAGGTCGTGCCGGGCGTCGTGGGCGGGGCAATACTGATCCCTCCGGGTTGGAGTCAGAGGCATACAGCGTGTGATTGGCTGCTAGGAAGCCGCATGCTAATTAGATTTGTTACTGATTTAAGTGTTGCTGGAAGATTTACAGGCGAAAAAATGGTGTTTTAAACTTTGCTATTTGACCGAATTGTCATGAAATATAAAATAAGATGCGTGAGTTGGCAGATGAGTTGACAAAAATATCACCATGCGTATAAAGTGTGCGGATGCCTCTGACTTACCGAGGCCGTGTGTTTGAAAGTAAGACTATACTTTCAGGGATCATTTCTATAGTTTGTTACTAGAGGAGTTTCTCTGAATGTGTGGGGTACACATAAACCACGAGGAGGAGACATAGTACCCTTTTCTGAGCGTGAAGGTGACTTTGGGTGTTGTTTCGTTTGCAATTGCCCTTTGTTATTGATGATCGTTCTGCCTTTCTTTTTGGGAAGGTGAGAGGGAAAGGGTACCGTCTGAGTGGTTTGTTTCCATTTCTTTATGTATAAAGGTAGTGGTTTTGCATCTTTGTTGTTTTCAGCTGACTATTTTTTAGGTGTTTTTACACATATTTTTTTGGTGATTATCGGCTGGTAGTTCAGTTGTAGTTTTTTTTTTTTAAGTTTCATTTATTTATTTCACAGACGGATAAAGAGAGAAAGCGGTGGGTAGAGTGGCAGAGAGATAGGGAGACTTGCTGCTCATTGACCAGAGCGTCCATGCGGGGCACGGTCTCAGGACCCTATGGTCAAGATCTGAGCGGAAGGCAGCCGTCCAACTAACTGAGTCATCCAGGTACCTCTATTTTTTTTTTTTTTTGGAAGAGATTTTGTCAAAGAGAGAGGCAGGCTCCCTGCTGGACAAGGAGACCGATGCGTCGTCCCAGGACGCTCCTATCATGACAGGAGCTGAAGGCAGTAGCTTAACCCACTGAGCCTTGCAAGAGTCCCGGTTTAAGTTTTTTTCCTTTTTCTTTCTTTCTTTCTTTTTTTTCTTTTTTTTCTTTTTTTTTTTTTTTTTACAGACTTTATTTATTTGACAGAGCAAGATCACAAGCAGGCAGGGAGGCAGGCAGAGAGAGGAGGGGGGAAGCAGGCTCCCTGCTGAGCAGAGAGCCCATGTGGGGCTGGATCCCAGGACCCTGGGATCATGACCTGAGCCAATGCAGAGGCTTATTTAACCCACTGAGCCACCCAGGCATCCCCCGGTTTAAGTTTCTTTAAAGAATTTCCTTCTTTATAAAGGAAGTTAGCAGGTACTGAGTTCTCAAGCATTGTTTTTCTGAGTTTTAGCGGTATTTGTTTCTGGTCGTGTGTGGGAATGTTTTATGTGTGGAAATTTGTTTTTCAAGATGGGGTTTTTGTCCTTTTGAAGTTTGCTTTTAGAGAGAGTGAGAGCGCTAGAGGAAGGAGACAATCTTAGTTAATTATTTAGGCTCCAGGCCCAGAGTGATGGAGTTCTAGTAAGTCAACCCCAGCCGGAAACAAGAGCCCCACGATTATTCGCTGAGCCACCCAGGTGTTTCTATTAATTGTATTTTATATATAAATTGTTTCTCTCCGGCTTTGCTGCAGTCATGTCTTTCTAGAACTTTCTTTAGTTAGATATTGGACCTCCTAAATTAATCCTTGGAGTTCTCCCTTTTTTTTTTTTTTTTTTTAATTTCTCATCAGTTTGTATTATTGGTCGGGGCTATTTACTTTTTATTGTGAAATTTTCTATTGAATTTTAATTTTTGGTTGTGAATATATAAATTTTTAAGTTTTTTGTAAAAGTTTTGCTGTAATTGACATAAACATTATATTAGTTGTACAACATGATTCCATGTTTGTATGTATTGCAAAATGATAACCACAATGTCTAGTTAACATGTCACTGTACGTATAGAATTTTTTGTCTGTGTGATGATCCTAAAGCACGTTTAAGATATACTCTTAGTGACTTTCAAATATTCAAATAGTGCAGTATTATTAACTATACTGGTTTGTACAGGGACGCATGGTTTGGCTTAGTTGGTGAAGCGTTTGCCTTCCCCTCAGGTTCTGTCCGGGATCAAGTCCCACCTCAGGCTCCCCGCCCAGTGGGGAGTCTGCTTGAAACTAAGCAAGCCCCTTGCGGGAACAGGTGGGAGTCTTTTTATACCCTGCCTGAGGCTTCTCTTTTTGTTTTGTTTTTTCTTTTTTGTTTTTGTTTCCTGAAAAAACTCTAATGCTCTTACTGGGGAGTACATGCGTGGTCATTTAAGGGCCCGTTATCAGTATTTTCCAGTGCTTAGAGCCTATGAAGTTATGTGGTTCATAAATCATTCACTGGCACACCAGGCATTTCACCCTTTAGTTCTGGGCCTGCTTGTAGTGGGTAATCCCACTATTTACTTCATCTGTGTTTTGAACAAGATATCCCTGAAACCACAGTTTTGTTTTGTTTTTTAAGATTTTATTTATTCATTTGACAGTCAGATCACAAGTAGGCAGAGAAGCAGGCAGAGAGAGGAGTAAGCAGGCTCCCTGCTGAGCAGAGAGCCCGATGTGAGGCTCCATCCCAGGACCCTAGGATCACAACCTGAGCCGAAGGCAGAGGCTTTAACCCACTGAGCCACCCAGGCGCCCCGTGAAACCACAGGTTTAATAATATATATATTTTATACACACACACACACACACACACACACATATATATGTAATAAATGTATAGTTTTAACACATGGTTTTTTTTTAGTGAATGTTCAGCTAAAGTTCAGAGTTTACACTAGTTCAGTTTTTTTCATTATTAACCGAAGTTTATAGTGAGGTTTCACTCTTTGTGTGTTAAAGGATTCACTCTTTGTGCTATATAGTTCTGTGGATTTTGACAGATGTATGTTATTTCCACCATTAAGTATCATACAGAATAATTTCACTGCCCTAAAAGTCCTTTATCCTCCTCCTGTTTATCCCTTTATGTGAACCCTGACAGCCACTGATTTTTTTTTTACTGTCTCTATATTTTTGTCTTTTCCAAAATATCATTTAGTTGAAACCAAAGAATGTAGCCTTTCCAGAGTGGCTTCTTTCTTTTAGCAACATGCATTTAAAGTTCCTTTGTGTCATTTGTTGGCTTCATAGCTCATTCATTTTTATTGCTGAATAATATTTTTTTTCTGGATGTGCCACAGTTTATCATCTATTGAAGAACATCTTGGTTGCTTCCAAGTTCTGGCAATTATGAATAAAGTTGGTATAAATATCATGTGCAGTTTTTTTAAAGATTTTATTTATTTGACAGATCACAAGTAGGCAGACAGGCGGGCAGAGGGAGAGAGAGGGGAAAGCAGGCTCTCCGCTGAGCAGAGAGCCTGATGAGGGGCTTGATCCCAGGACCCTGAGATCATGACCTGAGCCGAAGGCTTAACCTTCGTTAAGGGCTTAACCCACTGAACCATCCAGGCGCCCCACCATGTGCACGTTTTTGTGTGGCATAAGTTTTCAACTCCTTTTGAGTAAATACCAAGGAGTGCAAGTGCTGGAATTTATGGTAAGAGTATTTTTAATTTTGTAAGAACTGCCAAACTGTATTCTGAAGTGGCTGTACCATTTTGCATCCCCACCAGCAATGAATGAGACTCCCTGTTATCCACATCTTTACCAGACTCGGTGTTTTGGATTTTTCTTAGTGGGGCATACACACAATACACCTAAGAAACAAATGATGAGGCTACATCTGTAGCTATTTGGAATAGCAAGTTTTCATTCCCCTACAGTTAAACCTGTTACGAACCTGTTAAACAGTGGTGAAGCAAAGCCCCAACGAAAGGTTCTGATCTTAACCCGGCTGCTCTCAACAGTGATTTTCTGAAGCTACAAGCAGAGGCACAGAATAGTTTGCCCAGAGCTTAGTTTGGGGAGGGAACCCATTTTTCTTTGACAGGGTTAAGGAATTTGCCCGAGATGTCACAGCCATTGAGGACTGAACTAGTTCCCCAGAACACAAACCTGACACTAACTTCCCTCCTACTCTGGGATCCAGAGCTCTTAAAGAGATGACATCTAATGTCACTCCCTGGAAATCAGTCGTTACGTGAAGGGGCTTGCTTGCAAAGTTTGTTTGCTGCTTTTTCTGAGGGAGTAGCCACATTAAACCATTACCCCAATAAGCAAAGTGTGTGTGGGTTTCCTTTCCTCAATAGAGGCCTGATCAGGAATTACCTTTTATTTTTTAAAGTGTCCTTTAAATTTTTTTTTTTTTTTTTTTTTTAATTTTCTGACCTGATGGAAATGCTAAGAACTGGTTAGTGTACTGACGCCTTTCAGAGCCTGGCACACAATTTGGGTGTTTGGGGTTATTCCTCTGTTCTTTAAAGTTTTTTGTTTGTTCATTCGTTTGTTTGTTTTTTTTTTTAGTAGGCTCCTTGTCCAGTGTGGAGCCCAGCACAGGGCTTGATCTCAAGACTGTGAGATTAAGACCTGAGCTGAGATCAAGAGTCAGACATCTGAGCCAACCAGGTGCCCCTCTTTAACAGTATTCTAAGCTAAAGTTTCTTCTTCAATATATTTAAAATTCTTCTCTTCCTCTCCTGAAACACAAGTCTTTATTATTCTTCTACTTTTAGTAGTCAATTACTTCCTTGTGACCTCATACAGGTTTGTGTTTACTGAGCACATTCCTAGCCATGTGCAATGCTAAAGGCTGGAGACTCAATGGTTACTGAGTAAGAGTCCCTCCTCTCACCATCTAGAGGTAGAACATAGCGTAGCAAAATCACCCGAAGAAAAAGAAAATCATAACTGCTGCAAGGGTACTAGCTGTGTGGGAATCAGAAAGGAAGACTCCCCAAGATCTAAAGATTTAAAAATTAGTGATGAAAGGGAAAGCTCTTTTTTTTTTTTTTTTTTTTTTTTTAAGATTTTATCTATTTATTTGCTAGAGAGAGACACAGAGAGAGAGAGAGGGAACACAAGCAGGGGGAGTGGGAGAGGGAGAAGCAGGCTTCCCTGCTCAGCGGGGCTGGGCTCAATCCCAGGATCCTGGGATCGTGAGCCGAGCCGAAGGCAGATGCTTAATGACTGAGCCACCCAGGCACCCAAAAAGGGAAAACTCTTATTTTTTTCTTTACTCTCACCATACTTCTGACATCAAATGTGGGTTTTTTCCCCCACACTGAGCAATTCTCCAACACCAGGTGAGTGTCTTACAATTTGATTAAATTCTGATGTTGTCTACCTGGAGATAGTATCAGATCCCACAGTGTAAGTACTTGGGTTTCCCAAGACTGACTCTGCCCAACACCATGGACACCAGACCTAAGTAGTGGGTCTTCAGGTTACACAAAACTTTGTCTGACTTGATTACAAGTCAGAGGTTTCCACAACTCATTCCTTGGGCTTGATAATTAGCTAGAACAGTTCATAGAATTCAGGAAAAGAGTTTACTTATTAGATCACCAGTTTACTGTAAAAGGATACAACTCAGGAACAGCCAGAGGAAGAGAAGCACAGGACAAGGTATG